GGTGATTTCTCTTCACAGGAAGGGCAATGGCTATAAGAAGATTGCAAAGATGTTAAAAATACCAAGAGACACCTTAGGAAGCATCATTCGCAAATTCAAGGCAAAGGGCACTGTTGAAACGCTACCTGGTCGTGGCAGAAAGAAGATGCTGACTTCGACTGCTGTGCGTACCTGAAGCGTAGAGTGGAGAGAAGTCCCCAGTGTGACTGCTGAGGAACTGAGAAAAAGATTTGTCAGATGTGGGGTACAGAAGTTTCAGCCCAGACAATAAGACGCACACTGCGTAATGAAGGCCTCCGTGCCAGAACTCCCAGGCGCGTACCCCCTTGCTGTCTCCAAAGAATAAGAAGAGTCGACTGCAGTATGCCAAATGCCATGTGGACAAACCACAAAAGTTGTGGGATAGTGTTCTGTGGACTGATGAAACAAAATTAGAACTGTTTGGGCCCATGGATCAACGCTATGTTTGGAGGAGGAAGAACAAGGCCTCATGATGAAAAGAACACCTTGCCTATGTGAAGCATGGTGGAGGGTCAATCATGCTTTGGGGCTGTTTTGCTTCTGCAGGTACAGGGAAGCTTCAGCGTGTGCAAGGTACCATGAATTCTCTTCACAGTACCAGGAGATATTGGATGGAAACGTGATGCAGTCCGTCACACACCTGAGGCTTGGGAGACGTTGGACCCTTTCAACCAGGACAATTGATCCCAAGCATACTCCAAGTCCACTAGAGCATGGTTGCAGAGGAAAGGCTTGGAAACATTTTGGAGTGGCCATCGCAGTCACCAGACTTAATAAATCCGATTGAGAACCTCTGGTGGGACTTAAAAGAAAGCAGTTGCAGTGCGCAAGCACTAAGAATGTGAATGAATCTGGAGGCCTTTGCCCATGAAGAATGGGCGAAGGATACACGATAGATCGCTGCAAGACACTTGTGTCAAGCTATGCTTCACGTTTTAAAAGCTGTTATATAACTGTAAAAGGATGCTGATTATTAAGTACTAAGATTGAATGTCACTTGGGGGGTTGAATAAAACTGATAATCGCATGTGAGCACAGAAAAGACATTTGTGGTTATTGTCATTATAACTGTTATGTTATGTAGCAACTTATCCATACACACGGAGCATGTTGAAGGGTAATGTAAATGGGTAATAGGTTATAGGGTATGGGATTTATGGGTTGTTATATGTATTATTGTTGATGGGTGTTGTTTGGGGGGTTGTGGGGTGAGAAGGGGGGGTGATATTGTAGGGGTGGGTTGTGGGTTTGTGGGGTGTGGTTTGTATGTTGCGCGAGTTGTGTGGTTTGTTTTTGTGGAGAGGCATGGTGGTCTTTTGTCATGATGTTTGTGTTGTTTTTAGTGTTGTTGTAGTGTCTTGTTTTAACCACGAAGTACGCCGTGGTATAATTGGTGTTGGAGTTGTGTGCAGCCACAATGAAGCGGTGAGTGTTTTTGAGGTTTTTGTTTTGAGGTTTTTGGGGGTTGTGTGTGGTGTGGGGGGGGTTTTGTTTTTTGTGTGTTAATAGGTGGTGACTTTGGGTTGATTTGGTGTTGTAGTGACCAGGTAAGTGCGTGTCATGCATTGTATTTTGGGTGTTTGTAGGTTGTGTCAAGAATGTTGTTATGGGGTTTTTTGACGTGACTGGGTGTTTTTTGTTTTGAATGTGAGTGTGTATCGCACAGCGAAAGTTGGTGGGATGAGTAAGTTTTGTATTGTGTTGTCGAGGTGACAGGTAAACGGTTTTGTTAGGAGTAGGAGAATCTCTCCGTATGGTTTTTTATCAATTTAGTTTGACCCCCCAGTACCCCCACCCAGTTTGCCCACCGGGGTGTCCCCCTGAGGTGGGGTCCCCCCTGGGGATTGCCACCTGTTTTGGGGTGTGTTGAGGTTGGGGGGGGTGGGTGGTCTAACATGCTTCTTATGGGTGGGGGTTCTCATGGGGTTGTGGCTCATGGTTTTTTGTTTATGTTGAGTTTTTGTTTGAAGAATTGGGTGGTGGGGTGTGTTGGTTAGTGTTGTGATGGTGGGGTTGGGGGAGATAAGTTTTGTTATGGTGGAATTGGTTTCTGCTGATCCCCTAAGCAAGGCAGATGGTGGTCCAGTAGTTCCACTCCGCGTATGTGAAGACATAGACACAGCATTCTTTTTCTATGGGTTCTCCTATCCAGGGGCGGACTGACAAACTCATGGGGCCCCCAGGCAATAGGGATCATGGGGCCCCTGTGTCCTTGCACAAACTCAAAAAAGCCTATGAAAAAGGTACCAGGGGCATCTCATGGGGCCCCCCTACTGACCCCCGGGCCCTCGGGCAGTGCCCCGAGTTTCCAAATGGTCAGTCCGCCCTGCTTCTCTATCCATTTACACACTACTGCCATCCGATATGATCATCTACACGGGATGTGGGAATGGATGTTCCTAATCCATCTGTTTTTAGCGGAATCGGATTTAGGCGGGTGTAAAGGGACATGTCCCTTTACATCTGCAGCTTCAAGAAGGAGACTGGAGGTCCGATCTGGTTAGCTTGAAAAAAAGACAGGTGGACCCAATCAGTCCACTAGTTGGAAAGGAACCCTTACACTGCAGTGTGTACAAGGAACAGGACAGCACTGGATTTTGGCAAGATCAAAAGTTTCTTTAGCAAACAGATATAAACAAAGCACTTTCAATGGTTTATTTAACAGACTAAAAAGGAAGCAAAAAAGAGAAGGTAATTGTTTAGGGTTTTTACATACATTTAGTCTTTTTATTGTATGGCATTTTTAGTATTGTGGATTTTTAAGTTCTTTATCGATGTGTTGAACAGTACAAAAAACAGGCATGATTTGGGATTTTTTTTAATCATGCACACAAAAAAATTAAACAAATAAATGATAAAAATAACATTTTTTATTCAGATTTGGATACATTGAAAAAACCATCATGATAAAAAACAACAGCTAATCAACAAATGGGGTTTGTACAGACCATAATCCATGAGAAATAGCAACTGCAGTAAGTGTATGAACACCAACGCATTTCAATTTTTCAAACAAATCTTCATCAATCAAAATTATGAAAATACACAAATATATATAAATAATACCATTAAAGGACAATACAAAAAAATTATCACAGTCATTTTATATTATTTACAGAATATATACATAATCCTCAGAAAAATACAGCTGAATGTTGGTCAACAGATAACTCATCCCTCAAAGGAGGATACAAGGGATGCTATAGATCCCCCCCAAAAAAAAAGCATAAAAAAACATGAAGAAATTATTTATATAGTACAAAACAGAGCAGAGTAGGCTATAGTAGCATATAGAAGATACCATGTTTTTACCAATATTGGAGAATTAGAAGAGGTATGCAAGCTGAATGTTCACCTCAATTAGAAAAAGATGAATTTCTAGAAAAGAGGCATATACAAATTCAGATAAAAAAATAAGGCTCCTAAATAATCAACCCAAATATCCCCTTAAACTATAATGCATACCTTCCAAATTGGAGGGAAAATGCCCCTAAGATTTACTTCCAAAAAATAACTGGTGTGAAATAGTCCCACTGAAAGGGCTGATTTCTTCCACAGACCGAAGTGAGGGCCTTGAACACAAAGGACAAAAAGGGGGAAAACAAGATATAGCAGCTGACCACACCTATAAGTTAATACAGCTTCCACTATCCATGAGTCTTATCCATTACAAAGCTTGCTTTCACTATTCGTGGCCAGCATAAACACTAACACACAAATGGCCACCAGTTATTCCGTATAAATCCATGAATTATAAGACGGTCTCTGTACAAAATCCAGTTGTTTATCAGCTGTTGTTTTGATCATGATGGTTTTTAATGTTTTGAATAAAAAATTTTGTATTTTTATATTTACATTTTTTGTGTGCAGGTGCAGTGTAAAAAAGTCCCCAAATCCTACCTGGTTTTGTAGGTTCTTCATGTAAACTACCTTGAAGGAATGTGACACTGTGCAGTGCTAAAGGAGCCTTTTCTATGATTTTCCTTTCTGAGGGTACTATCTTGGGCATGCTGTACATGGATTCAGTTTTTTTTTTATCAGCAAACAGATTCCATTCATACAGAAGAAACTCTTCTGTTCCTAGAATACACTAATCAGCACTGCAACTGATTGGCATTTTTTTTGTGATCTGCAGAGCTGAGAACTGGCCTGCAACATTCTCTATGGATTTATACAACATTTATTATTCTAGCTATGTTTTTATTACTATAGCAGGTCATTACAGGACTTGTCAAAGGCATTAAACAGTAAAAACGTCTATATTTCTGAGCAATAGGTGGTATTTACTAACTTACTGAGTTGAGATATGTTGTCTGAATTTGGTGTACATTTTACCTTATTTTTTAAATTTCTTTGTATGCCCATCTTTTATAATTTTCCTTTATCAGGAACTAACATATACTTTTGGGTATGGTTTTAGAGAATAATATAGCACCCCACTTTACTCCATCAAGGCAGTTGGAGACCAAAGAAAAATTGTTGTGCCAGTCACTTTAGGAAAATGGCAACCAAATTGTACACAGATGCTGATCCACTGTGACCAAAACTAAACTAGATAATGTGAAATGGCTTCAGCTTTGCTTTCCAACCACAAGAGAGGTCTCTCGAATGTGTTCTTCCCCCAGTAGGCTTAATTGTTGGCCTCAATGATTAAGGCCATTATGGGGCAAAATGCATCTGAGGGACCTCTCATGTGGGTGGAGGGCAGAGCTGAAGCCATCGTACATTATCTGGTTTAGTTTTGGTCATAGGGAGTCAACATGCTGTGTGAGATCGGCTGCCATTTGTTTGCACCATTGTCAGGAATGGACTGGCCAGCAATGGTGGGACTCACCTGCTTTATGGGCTGCAGTACCAGGGCTGGCCAGCGGGTGCTCCCAGCAATCAGAGACTCAACCTTGCAGTCAGCCAAACACCTGAAACTGCTTATACTGGTGTATTTAAGGGATGGCCAGACCTGCAGACTCTGCCTTGGTGTGTGTTTCTCCTGGGCCCTGTATCCTGTTCCTGCTACCCTGTTCCTGTTCCTGCTTCTGTCTGATTCGTTGCTGACCCTGCTCTGATCCCTGCCTGGGGGCCCGAGACCTGTCGCTCCGTCTGGGGGTCCGGCGCCCGCCGCTCCGCCTGGGGGCCTGAGACCTGTCGCTCCGCCTGGGGGTCCGGCGCCCGCCGCTCCGCCTGGGGGCCCGAGACCTGTCGCTCCGCCTGGGGGTCCCGCGCCCGCCGCTCCGCCTGGGGTCCGATGCCTGTTGCCCCACCTGGGGGCCCGATGCCTGTCGCCCCGCCTGGGGGCTCGATGCCTGTCGCCCCGCCTGCGGGCCCGATGCCTGTCGCCCCTCCTGGGGGCCCCGGCGCCCGCCGCTCCGCCTGGGGGCCCGATGCCTGTCACCCAGCCTGGGGGCCCGATGCCTGTCGCCCCGCCTGGGGGCCCGATGCCTGTCGCCCCTCCTGGGGGCCCGATGCCCGCCGCTCGGCCTGGGGGCCCGATGCCTGTCGCCCCGCCTGGGGGCCCGGTGCCTGTCGCCCCGCCTGGGGGCCCGGTGCCTGTCGCCCCGCCTGGGGGCCCGGTGCCTGTCGCCCCGACTGGGGGCCCGGTGCCTGCTGCTCCGCCTGGTGGCCGCTGCCTGCTGCTCCGCCTGGTGGCCCGCTGCCTGCTGCTCCGCCTGGTGATCCGATGTGCCTCTGCCCGGAGTCCAGCCCGATGTGCCTCTGCCCGGAGTCCAACCCGATGTGCCTCTGCCCGGAGTCCAGCCCGATGTGCCTCTGCCCAGAGAGTCCAGCCCGATGTGCCTCTGCCCGGAGTCCAGCCCGATGTGCCTCTGCCCGGAGTCCAGCCCGATGTGCCTCTGCCTGGAGTCCAGCCCGATGTGCCTCTGCCCGGAGTCCAGCCCGATGTGCCTCTGCCCGGTGTGCCTCTGCCCGATGTGCCGCTGCCCGATGTGCCTCTGCCCGGTGTGCCGCTGCCCGATGGGCCTCTGCCGGAGTCCTGCCCGGTGTGCCAGTCTTTGATATCCCGCCAGTTACCAGACCCGGGCGGTGGAACATTTTGCCCAGCTAGGACTGTTTGGAGCGTCCTGAGGCCGCTCCTTGAGGGGGGGGGTACTGTCAGGAATGGATTGGCCAGCAATGGTGGGGACTCACCTGCCTTATGGGCTGCAGTACCAGGGCTGGCCAGCGGGTGCTCCCCAGCAGAGACTCAACCTTGCAGCCAGCCAAACACCTGAAACTGCTTATACTGGTGTATTTAAGGGATAGCCAGACCTGCAGACTCTGCCTTGGTGTGTGTTTCTCCTGGGCCCTGTATCCTGTTCCTGCTACCCTGTTCCTGCTCCTGTCTGATTCGTTGCTGACCCTGCTCTGATCCTGGCTTGTCTGACCATTCTCCTGCTCTGATCCCTGGCTTTGTCCTGACCATTCTCCTGCTCTGATCCCTGGCTTTGTCTGACCATTCTCCTGCTCTGATCCCTGGCTTTGTCTGACCATTCTCCTGCTTAACCCTATACGTTCTGACCTCCTGTTGTTGATCCCGGCCTGCCTGACGACGCTTGCATTGTATGTTTTGTTATCTGTGGGTGGTTTGGTTTGGTTCGTTTGCACTGTGTTATGTTTTAGTATTGCACTGCGTTTATGTTTGTATTGTTAGTCTTTAATAAATTATATTGTTTATAACTTATCTGAAGCCTGCGTTTCCCTGCGTCAGTCACAAACCTCTGGTCATACCCGGGAACCCTGACAACCATATTGTAGCCTGACAAGCTGTTTTATACAATTTACACCAATTCACTACATGTCATGTTGGCTAATATCAGTGATAGGAGCATTAGAGCTGTACTTTCATTGTTTGTCTACAAGTCACTTTAGGAAGTTTTAGGTGTATACTATAGGGCTGATAGACTCAGGGAGATAGGCATTATGGCACACGATCTCTCCCAAAAAAAAAAATACAAACTTGGGATCTCTACCCACTCTCACTGTGGAAAAAGGATCTTTAAGCCAGCCCATCACCCTGTACTATTCAGACTGTAATGCAGCTTCCATTCAACACACTTACTCCTTGGATGAACCACCACAACTTCACAGTCCACCACTTCGCTATTCTGGACACTTCAGGCTTCTGGGGCTTCTGCTCCACTTCCCTGGGATATAGCCAGCATGCACCACTGGCAGTAAACCTCCTAATGGTTGTTCAGGGAGACATAAATATTCAAGCTCAGGTTTTTGGATCTTCTTCACATGATTGACAGGGATAGCAGGCAGAATCAAACAATAACACTGAGCTTATGGAAAACTTGAGGAAATCGGAACTATCAATTAGAGCACAAGCTGACTACAGCCCAGCAACACTAAATTTAAGCTAAGGACATTATTGCTTAGGGCAGCATCCCTAAAATAATAAAGAAATTATGTAGTCTACTGTAGTACTTTTTTTTTTTGTTTTTCAAATTTATTCAATAGTTATTCTTGTTGGTGTTATAAACTGTATGAATAAATAAAACAAACATTCCAAATGCTATAGATGAAATTCACATAATAGAAGGTTTGGATGTGGACAAAGACTTTCTGATGTGATACCCTTCAAACGGCTGTATTTGCCAAAACAGTTAGTTGGTTATCTTGTTGGTACAGGAGAGTTAGATGTCTGAGCAATAAGCAAATTGTTTCCTATTCTGACATTGTGCCAGCTACGAATTTATAGGATCAGTAAGTGATGGAATTAAAACCACAATTACATTCAGAACCTGACTAGCCAACGCCTTGGATTGAAAGCGTGTTTTGCCTCCCAAGTTGCTTCTTCTGAAATCAATCACATGAAAAGAAAATTAAAGTGCAACTCAAGCCATTAATTTCCCATTTTAGGTAAAATGCAAATAGGCTGATCTCTATTGCTTTCTGTGTCTCCATTTGTCAGATTTGTCCTTATTCAGACAGACTGAGTAAGGGAAATGCTTCCTACTTCACGGTTATTTTAATAGGTGTCAGGCAAAATTAGTGAGGGCAATTTTTTACAACTGGAAAAAAAAATGAAATATTTCCTTAAACATAGAGAGAAATCAAACCTGGTTCAGGTTCTGACCCAGTCCATCCAAACTTAATAAAAGTATTGACAAGTGTTGAACTTTGAAACCCACTTTCAAGCTTTTGTTCATTTTAGAGAGGGTATGAAAGGTTAGTACTGCTTTAGTCAATATTTTTTGCAGATTACATATTTGTGTAGAATCTCCCCATTGAGAACACTGACAACAATAAAAATGTCAGAAGACAGAAGATATAACCTGTCTCTACTCCATTAAAAACGATTTTATTTGATTCCATCCTCTTCATTTCTTGTCCCTGAGACACTCCTCATGGTTCCTAGGCACAAAATAGGAGATACTAGAGACAAATATAGCAGTAGAAATTTCTTAATGGGTTGTAAACTGTCCCACTCTAGCCAAAAATTAAAAAAAGAAAACTTAAAAATGTTCAGGAAATGGACTTGCACACACTAAACACTATTATATATCAGTCTACTGCTAGCCTTTAATTGGGTCTTTAAAAGGAACCAACTGATTTTATTAACTAGGTAAACTTACTAATTTATTATATGGTGCAAGGTTTCAACATGTATTATATGGTTCAGTGTTTAGTACAAGTGAGACCTTTGTCGTAATGTGTTTCCATATCCAAAATCTTTTTTTTGTTAATTTTGGGTAGAATGGAGAAAGGTTAGAACTCCTGTAAAGTTTACTGCTATCCAGGGCTCCATTTGAGATATTTTCCCTTACTCTCTGTTTCTGCTCAGACAGGATGTAAGGGAAAATGGACAACAATAAAAAGCTGACAGAGGTTCTAGCATTCCCCTAATTAACGTTAAAAAAATATTTTTAGTTTTGTCTGTGTTGCTGTTAGTGTAATTTTGAAATAGAAAAAATACAGAAAAGAAAAGGGGTAGTCTAGGGTGACCTGCCGCTTTTATATACTGTAAGTGACCAACTCCACAGACGTAATTACATTAAAAAAATCATATTAACAATTTTTATTAGACATACATTAAAAACACATAGGTATACAACTCATTGATAAAAAAGAATAAGCTATTCACAGTATAGAGTTCACTTGTTTATATTAACTGATGTGTTTCGTGATCACAACTGCTTCTTCAGAATATTAAACTTAAGTGTAACAGATATTTATAATATCTCTTGAAATAGAGAACATACTGTACATATGAGACATATACTGTAAACATGCATAAGTAAATAGGTAATTCAATACAAAAAGAAACAGTCATTATATTAACTGGCCCAAAACGTGAAAATATGGAAAAAAATAGCACAAAAAAAACAACGACAAACATTTTCAGAACACTTACAAAACCAAAATAGGGTGTGCTAGGGTGTAATCACTTCCATCCAGGCTGTGAGGAGGCATATATGACAGAGACCTTTGACGGGCAGAGATTGGCGCAGAATCACCAATCCTCTAAAACCAAGCAGATATAAAATCAATCAACTAAGAGAATAGTCTCATTAACAAGTGGGATAAGACTATCAAATAAGTCACCCCCTACTCTTTTAAATATATATTTAATTTCACTCCAAATCCATACTATACTCACTCCAGCATCAAATGTAGCTCAAATCAAATATCCAAAGGTTGGTGGCATCCAAACCAATAATATCATGGTGCATTTCCACCCATCGTAGCATAGAAGGGGTACATCAGGTGGAATATAGATAGAGTAATGGTATGGGAAGACACACTGTAGTTTTAACATCAAGGAGAGATGTATGTTCCTTAAATATATATTATATTTCAAACTGGCCTCTCTAAAAGGATCAAACAAAAACAAAAAATGACTGTTAAACAACACGTCACGTATCACTAAATGGGCAAACCATAATTCCATTAAAATACAGAGAGACTATAAAATGGGCTCATTTCTTTCCATCTCTGGGAGCATATGCATCTGGATTTGGAGTGAAATTAATATATATTTAAAAGAGTAGGGGATGACTTGTTGGATGGTCTTATCCCACTTGTTAATGAGACTATTCTCTTAGTTGATTGATTTTATATCTGTTTGGTTTTAGAGGATTAGTGATTTTGCTCCAATCTCTTCTCGTCAAAGGTCTCTCTCATATGCCTCCTCACAGCCTGGATGGAAGTGATTACACCCTAGCACACCCTATTTTGGTTTTGTAAGTGTTCTGAAACCATTTTTTTTTTTTTTTTTTTTGTGCTGTTTTTCTATATTTTCTCCTTTTGGGACAGTTAATATATTGACTGTTTCTTTTTGTATTGAATTACCTATGCATGTTTACTGTATATGTCTCATATGTATGTTTTCTATTTCCAGAGATGCTATAAATATCTCTCACACTTAAGTTTAATTTTTTAAAAAAGTGGTTGTGACCATGAAACGCGCCAATGAATTTAAAAATGTAACTCTATACTGTGAACAGCTTATTCTTTTTATCAATGAGTTTGTATACCTATGTGTTTTTAATGTATGTCTAATAAAAAGTGTTAGTAAGATTTTTTTTATATAATTATGTCTGTGAAGTTGGTCATTTACATACGGTATATATATAAACACTGGCGGGTCACCCTCAAATTCCCCTTTTCTTTTTTGTATTTTTTTCTATTTTGCTTTTTTGAGGTGGTAAAACCCCCCCCATATACAGTAATATTAATTAATATTAATATTAATATTAAATATATTAATATTTGGTA